AAAAAATTGTTTTCAACTTTATTTCCCCGTCGTCGTTTTTTTTTAGAAAAAAAAAAAAAAAACCAAATGAAAAAAAATTTTAACGGTTTTTACAATCGAAATGTATTTCGAATTGTGTAATATTTTTATTATTATTATTATTTTAAAATTTCCAGAGGTTATTTTAAAAAGAGAGAAAGAGAGAGAGAGAGAGAGAGAGAGAGAGAGAGAGAGAGAAGAAAACGTCAATAATTTTTGGTTAAACGACAAATCGGATAAGGGGGGCACGATAGTAAAAAAAAATAAGGGGGGCGTGTATGTCGTTTTGTCATTTCGTGCGGTTTTCCCATGATTTTTCTCTTTAAAAATAATTTTTCTTTTTTAAATCGAAATTTACTACAAAAAAAACTTTTGCATTCGTCGTTTAAATTTTTTTTCGTTTTTTTTTTTTTTTAATAATTTCGTATCGGAAAATTAAAAAAAAAAAAAAAAAAAAAAAAATTTAAATAACGAAACGAAAAACAAATTTTTAAAAATTTTAATACGTTTGGATTCTAGCCAGCCATTTTGTTTTTTTTTTTTTTTTTTTTTTTTTTTGGGGGAAATATAATTTTAAATAAAAAAAAAAAAGAAAAAAGAAAATTGATTGAGGAAAAACGAATAATAAAAAAAAAAAAAAACATACGCTTACCTTCTCAGTATAATTTGTTATGTTGACCTTTGAACTACGTTGATCACTAACGACTAAAAAAAATTTTCTTTTTTCATTCAAATCATTAAACGATTGAAAATTATTATTATCATTATTATTATTATTTTTAAATGAAATAAACAAAAGACGCGAAATGAGGGATGAAAAAAAATTTAATTTTCTTTTTTTTTTTTTTTAAATAATTAGAGCGGAAAAAATTTAAAAAAGAAAAAATAAAAAATTTTCCAAACGAACAAAACGTTGTTAATTTCATTTTAAGGTTTAATGTGCCAGTGCATCCAACACGATGATGACGACGAAAAAAAAAAAAAATGGCCGACTTTTTTTTCTTCTGCTTTTTTTTTCCTTCTGCTTTTTTTTTCCTTCTGCTTTTTTTTTTCATTCTGCTTTCTGTTTTCCTCGGGGACTTTAAATCACGAGCCAAATGTTGTTTTTCTCTTGGGAAACACTTTCTACATTTAATAGATAGAAAGAAAGAAAAAAAAAAAAGAAAAGCAGGATTGATATTTCAATACTATTAGCAGTACCGTATTCAGAATTTATTCAAAAAAAAAAAGATTTTCCGAGCCGCAAACATTTTTATTTATTTATTATGTACGAGAATAAATAAATTATGTAAAAAAAAAAAAAAAAAAAAAAAAAATTTCAAAAGTAGATTTATAATAAAAAATCCATCGCACGGGGATTTGGGGTGCGGGAAGGCGGGGGCAAAGGGTGGGGGGTAGAAAAAGAAACAGAAAAAATTTTTTTTTCCTCCTCCTCCCCCCAATAAAATTCAAGTCATTCGGAATTGCACTTTTTTTTTTCTGAAAATTTTTTTTTTTTTTTAATGGTTAAATTTATTATTATTAATATTATTATTATTATTATTATTATTATTATTATTTTCTTTCCATTACCAACTTTAAAAAAAAACTCAAACTCTTTTTTTTCTTCTCAGTTCAAGTTTTATTTGTTGTTATAAAACTTTTTTATAAGAAAATTACAAAAGGAAAAAAAAAAAAAAAAGTTGTTAACCTTAAAAACATGAATGGTTTTTATTTTTCCCTTTTTTTTCCTGACTGGGGGAAGTGGGGGTGGGAGGTTGGGGGAAGGTGGAGAACGAAGAAAAGTTTAATGTGTCGGAAAAAAAATTTTTTTTTTTTTTCTTCCCCCCACGACGTTTTCTTTTGGTGATTTTCTTTTTCTCTACTAATTTGATTTAATTTGTAATATACGACCTTTTACGAACTTTATTTATTTATTTATTCGTTCGTTTTTAAACAAGATTTTAAATTTTCTCTCTCTCTCTCTCATTCTTCTCTAATGAATTTTTAAAACGAGTTTAACGGTAATGTAATATGTAAAAAAAAAAAAAATACAAACCGGAAATGAATGATTAATTAATAAATAAACAACGCGAAATTAGTGTTAAATAAATAATAAGAAAAATTTGTGTGTCGGAAAAACCGTAAGAGAGAACAAAAAAATTTCCCCCACCCTTCTCCCCCTTTTTAAATTATTCATTATGAAAGGTGAAAGTTAAATAACGGAAAAACCTCTCTCTCTCTCTCTCTCACTCTCTCTCTCTCTCTCTCTCTCTCTCTCTCATACTTTAATAGTAATTCCAAAAAAAAGGAATTAATGGGATTAACAAAATCAAATTTAAATTATTTTAAGGCTTCCACTCATGCCGTTCAGTACCGTAAACAATTTTTCTTTTTTCTTTCCTTTTTCTTTCCTTTTTTCCTTTTTTTCCTTTTTTTCTTAAGCTCTTTTTTACAATATTAAAAAAAAAAGAATTAAATGACCAGACGATTTTTAACTACTCCTACCCACAACCCCCTTCAACATAAAATTTTTATTTATAAATAATAATAATAATAATAAAATTTTTTTTTGTTCATAAGAGACATTTAAAAAAAATGAAAATCTGACATTTTTTTTTTCTCTCTCTCTCTTTTTTTTTCTCTTTCCTTTTCTTTTCCTTTTTTTTTTTTTTACATTCGGTTAAAACACGCAAGGATTATTTTAAGCTTTTTGTAAAATTTAAGGAGTTGAGTCGAATGCCTGAAAAAAAAAAAAAAAATTTTTTTTTTTTTTTTTTTTTTCGAAAACGGAAAATCAATGAATTGACATATTTTATTTTTATTTTTTCGAGCTTTTATTTTTTTTATTTAAAAAAAAAAAGCTTTTTAAAATAAAAGCTTGTAGTGGTAGCAGAAGATATTAAATAAAATAATAAATTTATTTATTTCTCCTGAAAAACCAAAAAAAAACAAAAAAAAACAAAAAAAAATTAATAAAATAATTTAATAAAAAATGCTTGATAATAATAATTTATTATTAACAATTCTCAATATAATTTTATTATCCATCCCTCGAAGGAAAAACAAAACCCGGGGGGAGGGTGTGGGGTGTGTGGGGAGTCGATTTATGTATTTATTACTTAACGGTCATGTTTATTAAAATAAAAACTATAATAAATGTATTGAAATCTCGTAAAAAAAAAATGTCGTAAAATTCTTTTTTTTTTTTCTCTTATTGTTTAAACTTTTAATATACTCTTAGGTATTATATAGAATTTTTTTTTCCTTCTATAATAATAATAATAATAATAATACAAATTTTTATTATATTTACAAAACGTAACGAATCGAACAACAACAACAACAAACAACAAACAACTCCTTCCCCTTAATTTTTTTCCATTGTAAAGACATATTTATTTGTTTGTGACAAAAAATTTTCAATTATCTGTAAAATTTATAAATAATGTTTGTTTTATGTTTTCTCTAACAATTATTATTATTATTATTATTATTATTATTATTATTAAGAACATTAACTAGGCGAAACGAAACGTTTTCCCATACCCCCAAAATAGGAAAAAAAATGGGGTTGATTTTTCACCCGGAAAAACCAATATATAGATTTTATTTTATTGTTTTCTCTCTCTCTCTCTCTTTGACTTTTGTTTCGTTTAAAAATTACAAAGTTTTGCCCTTTATTATTATTATTATTATTATTTTTGTTTTAATAAAAAAATATATTAAGATAATAAATTATATTATTATTATTATATTTTTTAATGGAATTCTCGTTAAATTAATTCAACGACTTTAATTATTTCAAGTGCGTACACAATAAAATACACAAAGTTAAAATTAATTTATCATCATCATCATCATCTATAATTTTTAAATGTCGCCAACAGAACAAACACATTAGTGAAAAAAATTTTCTTTTTTTTCTTTTCGAAAAAGAAAAGTCACTTAATAAGTAATCGTTAATTATTATAAAAAAACTGACTCGGAAACACCCTCAATAGTAATTTTTATTGTCAATAATAATAATATATAATTAAAAGAAAATCGGAAAATTTTTGAAATTATAAAAAGGTTTAATGAGTTTTCCCGAAACGTTTGATTGTTTGTAAAAAAGTTGGAGGGGGTGGAAGGAGGAGGATGATGAGGAGAAGGGTAGTAATGAAATGTTTTTCCGTTTAGGGAAAATTGGGTTTAAATATTCTTAAAATAATTTTAACTTTTTATTTTAATTACTTTTCAAATTTTTTTTTTTTTTTGGTTGTAATCAATAAAGAAAAAAGAAACGACGCCATTTTGAAAATGATGTGGAAAAATCTGTTAAATGATGATTACATTATAATAACGACACCCTGCATTATCTGATGTAAAAGCTTCGGAATACAAATCTTGTAAGAGGAGAAAAAAGGAAAAAGGAAAAATGTTTTCCTTGTTTCCTTCTCCACCAGGGAAGAGAGAAAGAGAGAGAGAGAGAGAGAGAGAGAGAGAAAAGCAGTAAAAAGCAATCGGTGATGTAACCAAGTTGCATAAACAGATATAAACCAGTAGTAGACAATATGAATAGGAAGTCTGGCGACAGAAGAATCACCCGTTTCGGGATATAAAAAAAAATTATTTTCACCCGAATTATTTATAAAAGAAAAAGAAAACAAAAAAAAGTTTTTCCCAACTTTTCCTTTTACCGTAGGGCGGTTCCTCCTCATTTCAACTTCTTTTCCCGATTTCAAGGTTTTATGCTTTACGGCAGGTTGCCAGAATAAAAATCGTTGTTTGGACATTTTATTCGGTTTTTCTTTTTCTTTTTTTTTTTTTTTTTTTTTTAATGCATGACATCATTAAATAAATAAAAATCCATTCGCTAAATTAATAGGAAAAAAAAAAAAAAAATTAAAATCGAGACGTTATCAAAAAGCTTTTCCTTCGTTTTTCTTTTCGTTAACGATTCCTGATTGATGAAAACGTTTAAATTTTCTTTTTAAAGGTTCACAAATTGATTTTATATAATGACACGATCAAATTGTTGTTTTTTTACTCTATGAAATATAAATTAGTTAATTAATTAAATGTAATTAAGGTTAAAAACCTTTTTTTCCCTTTTTTTTTTTTTTCGATTTTTTTATCATCATCGTGAAAATCGAATCAAACGTGAATTATTTTTTTGTAGTTCCGGAAAATTTATGTTGTTTTTCCAGTAGTTGTTGTTAGTTCGGTAAAATGTTCTTACTTACCAAAGTGGTACAATTTGTTAAAACTCATCAATTGTCATATGTTTGTGTGTTTCAGCTGGAGGAGTAGATTCAGGAATAGATCTCTTAGAATCCTTACAGCTTCACAATACAAGTCGGCAAGGAGTGTCTGCTATTCCAGGACCGCAAAAATTACGGCCTGCCTTTTATTTACAAGGTAAAAACATGATAATTTCTGGAAAAAATAATCAAGAAAAACAAAAAATTAATTACAAAATCCAGGAAATAAATTTAACGACAACGATAATAATAATAATAATAATTTGGAAAAAGGTCAATTTAAATCTTTTTTTTGTTTTAAAAAAAAAAAATGGTGACTTGTAGGAAAAATCAAAATTTATTCTCGGTATAAAAAAGGGGTCGGGAAAAATGTAAAGGAAAAAAAGGAAAAGAAGAAAATCATCAGATTTAAAAATTTTGTGTGGTTTTATGACTTTTCTGCCGTCTGTCGAATTTTTCTGATTGCTTTTTTGTCTGGTGATGCATTTTTGGTTGTTGGCTCGATTCTTCCGTTTGTCTTACCAACCTTTAAAAAAAAAAAAAATTATTATTATTATTATTATTTGAAAAGAATAGCGAAAATTTAAGACTAATTTAAATGTATATATATATTATTTCGTTTTTAGGAGACTACAGAGATCTGAGGCTACCTCAATCAGTATTTCAAAAAGCTGTACAGCTTTTAAGACATAACCCTGAATTTACGCTTAGCGCATCTCTTAGGCAAGAAGTAGCTAATTCTGGAAGTATAATTTCATTTTCTTATGGTTTTAATAGGTTGGTTGTTTTTTTTTTTTCATATTTTTATTTAATAAATAATAATAATAACAGTAAAAAAATCAAGCGAAATATAAAAAAAAAAAATTTTTCGAAGAGGGAGACAGAGAATAAGCAAGCAGACGACGGCCGGACGGTGCATTTTAAGAGTGATACCGTGGGCCGTTGCAGAAAACATGCGCGGATTCAGGCGTCGATTGTCTATCTTTTGCTGACTTTTAAGCGCGCGTGAGACACAAAAAAAAAAAAAAAAAAAGAGGGTCAAAACAAAACTAGAGAACGAATCGATATCATCTACTCGATTAATATATATTTTATTTATCGAAACGGAAAAGTAATTATGGAGGTGTATGATAATAATAATAATAATTCAAATTTTTCAGGTATTTGGAACTACAAAGTAGCGGCCGGAAAGATGAAATCCGGTTGCACTACACATCGCAATTAGACGATGTGGTTCACGTGGAGGCCTTCCCATACAGACTGGCTGACAACAGCTGGCACAAGCTGGCGGTCACCGTGAGCGGATCCCAAGTAGAATTACTAGTGGATTGTCATCCTTTGTACAGAAGACTGTTGCAGAGAATTCCAGATACTAATTTTACTTTGCCTCAGCTCACATTATGGGTCGGCCAACGCAACAATCGACACTCTTTGTTTAAGGCACGTTGTTTCCATTTTAAACTTATTAGGAAAAATAATAATAAAAAAAAAAAATCAATAAAGTAAAATATTAGGGATTATTAATGGCGTTGACCGTTCAATTATGTAATAATTATTTTCGATAATAATCAAATTGTAGACACGCATCCATTTTACTTCTTATTTCGAATTTAAATTTTTAATTTCTGATGTTTTGCCTTACTCGTTCGGAAAAGTTCACTTTTACTGGTAATAACAACATCTGAAAAATATAAATAAAAATTTTAGGGTGTTTTACAAGATGTAAGACTGATATCCGGGCCCCATGGGTACCTTAATCAGTGTCCACAATTGGATGCAGGTTGTCCTACTTGTGGACAGTTTATGACTTTGCAACACACTGTCGAACAACTCACTAAAAGTTTGCATCTATTAACAGACATGGTAAGAAAAATTTATATTTTATGTTAAAAAAAAAAATTTCCCATTAAAAAATATGATTTATTTGTTGTTTGTTTTAGTTACTGGTTGCAGAAGGTCGTATTACAAAATTAGAAGAATGCGATTGTCGAAAATCATGTACCGTAAATGGTACAGAATATCAAGATAGTTCTTCTTGGCAGATAGGCTGTGACATATGTAGGTGTAAGGTAAGTAAAAAAAAATGTCTTTTCAAAACTTACACGTTTAATAAAAAATCAAAATGATTCTTACCGTTTTTTTTTTTTTGTTTTTTTTTTCGGTGACATTAGAAGGGAGAAGTAAAATGCCAACCCGTTCAATGTCCTAAAACGACGTGTAAACATCCAGTGATAAAACCTAAAGAATGCTGCCCTACTTGTTTAAGTATGTATTCGTTTGTGAAGAAAAGAAAAATTTACAATTCGATAATAATTAAAAATTAATTTTTTATATTTAGAACAATGTTATCACATGAAGACTTTATACGATCATGGAGAAAGAACTAGTCCGAAGGCATGTTTCGAATGCAAGTGTGAAGATGGATCCATGGAGTGCAAGCAAAAAGACCCAAATTTAATTTGTCCTCCCCTTCCGTGTCCTTCTAGTCAACAATTTAGTGTTCCTGGTGAATGCTGTAAATTTTGCCCAGGTACAATTATAATTGACGACGACGTCGTCGTGTGCGTACCTAACAAACCACTACTAACACTACTAACTATTAAATATTACAGGTGTAGACTACTGTGGTAAGGGTCATGTGTGTCATGTTAATGCAACCTGTATTAATTTAACAACTACTTATGCTTGTCATTGCAATAATGGCTATCATGGAAATGGCCACGAGTGTCTTGGTAATTAAACTCTTTAAACTAATACCGAATATATTAAGAATTCACAAAAATTAACTATTAACATAAATTATTCACCTTATTTAATAATAATAATAATAATAATGATAATGATATTTTTAACGAGATTGTATAAAATTTTTTTTAAAAATTATTTTTAGATGTAGATGAATGCAAAGTAAAAGGGGGGCTGGAAGGGAATCATTGTCACATGAATACTCGGTGTGTAAATACTCCCGGCTCATATACATGCGAATGCCTACCGGGTTATCGAAGAGTAGATAAATTTAACTGTGCCGAACTCAACGAATGCGTAACGAATCAGCACAAATGTGATCCTCATGCAGACTGCATAAATACCTTAGGAAGTTATCATTGCGTATGTCAAAATGGTTATTCCGGAGATGGATATTCGTGCAGTCGTAAGTTAATTAAGATTTTTTTTTTTAATTAATACCTGGATTACTTTTAATCCACTTTGAATAATTGCAGCCATTTGTGAGTCACCTTGCTTGAATGGAGGTAAATGCGTGAGTCCGGGTGTTTGTTCGTGTAGAAAAGGTTACCAAGGTGCAAATTGCGAACAGGATTTAGACGAATGTGCCAGTAACTTACATGGGTGTCATCATACTTCCATTTGCGTCAATATGCCAGGATGGTATTACTGTAGGTGTAAACCGGGTTACAGAAGTATACTTCACGAGGGCACCCTGGGTACAACTTGTCAAGGTTGTCAAAAATTACAAAGAGGTTGTTTATTTATTTTTAACATTTGATAAATGATTTTTTTTTTTTTTTCTGTACCTTAAACAGATTTAGATGAATGTAAAGAAGGTTTGCATTCGTGTCATCCGACTGCTAAATGTGTAAATATTGAAGGAGGATTTGAATGCACGTGTCCTAGAATTGATGATACGATAGAAGAAACTTGTTCGTTAAGTAAGAATTAATTTGGAATTTTACTTTTAAAAAATTAAATTTCAATTTAAAAAAAAAAAAAATTAATTTGTAATTTTTTTTTTTTTTTTACCTTTACTAGATTGTATTTTTGAGGGATCCGAAATTGCCAATAATGCCATATTTATACCCACTGGTCAGCCTTGTCGTACGTGTAAATGTACGAATGGTGTCATTACTTGTCGTGACACTAACTGTGATTGCTCAAAACGAGGATCCTCCAGGTTCACTAATACATCCTTTTGTCACTAATCGAAAATACCTGAAAAAAAAAAAACATCATTTAAATCAAAATTTTAATTTACAGAGATAGATGTTGTCCGCAGTGTGATCCCAGAGCGGCTTGCACACATCAAGAACTTCGACACGTGGTATTCAGCAGCGGTGAAAGATGGATATATCAATGTCAAACCTGCGAATGTTTGGTAAGTCATTGCAATACCGACGACATGACCCATCAATCATTTCAAATAATAATAATAATAATTTTTTTTTTCTTTAGTTTGGCGAAATAGATTGTTGGTCATTGGAATGTCCTCCCGTTTCATGTTCTTCTCCCGTACTCACTCCAGGAGATTGTTGTCCAAGATGCGAAGATGATCCTTGCGGTTTAAGTACTTTTGATAACACTTCCACCAGGTACATAATATAAAATTCCCGTTTCCGTAATGATTGTTATTGACGATTAACGATTTACAAAAAAATTTCAGTCTCGTTACGACAACTCGGGATGAACCTTGTTTCGTTTCCGGTAGACTTTATCAAAGCGGAAGTTCTTGGGGAGATCCGGAAAATAGATGCACGACATGTAGCTGCAAGGTAAAAAACAAAAATTTTCTTTTTCTTTCCATTTTAAATATTAATAATACTTTTCGTGTTGATATTTAAATAATCAAAAAAAAAAAAAAAAAAAAATTACGAATAACCTTAAACCTGAAAAAAATTTCGGCATTGATTGTGATTTGATGTTTTTATTATTATTATTATTTTCATTTAATTTAATCGATTCTTAAACGAGCCTAATTAATAAGAGCCTTGTAGGAAAAATAATAATAATAATATTCAATAGAATTTAATCGTCGATAACGTTTAAAGTGTAGTTTTTAATAACATTATTAATAATTATTTATTTATTTATTTATTTTTTCTCTTACGCTATAGTAATAATAATGATTGATTGCTAAAAAAAAAAAATTATCATTTAGTTAATTCGAAATTATCATTCATTTGCTATTAATAATAATAATGATGATGAAATTGTTGAATGCTAATTTGCCATAGCAGGCCAAGCCATTTGTTTATTATTATTATTATTATTTTGCAAGTAGTTTTTCTTTTTTTTTTAGTTAATATTCGGTGTCATTTATGTTTTATTATTATCATTATTATTATTTTTAATAATACGTTGATTAATAAATAATATTTTTAATAAGAAAGATGTAAAAAAAAGTCCTTTTTTCCTCCATTTTATTCATACGACGAAAGAAACGGGTATATAAATTACATCAAGTCATCATGATTTCCCACCCCAACCCCTTTCGGCCCTTTCCCCCCCCCGATTAATAATTAATTAATTTATTTATTCATAACGAATTTGAAAAAACAGTTTGGTTATTTTCGCAGGTGCCGTTATGCGACCTCCTGGTGAGCAATAGGGCGCAGCGGTAATAACCTCACTCATTCACTTTGTGTTTATTTATTTATTTATTTTTTATTTTTTTTGTATTTGGTTACGGTATTTTTATTTATTTATTTATTATTATTATTATTTTGGGGATATATAATTGGAATGTTTAAACGGTTTGAATGACTCGCTTCAAACGGTAAAAAAAAAAAAAAAAACATGGCGTAGTTTAAGCTTTTGTCGCAAAAAAAAAAAAAAAAATTAGGTTTTCTTTACATAGCTTTATTTATTTATTTATAACATTTAATGGTGGCGGTTATTATTATTATTATTCTTTTATAAACTTTATAAACAAATTGTTTAAAAACCGTTATAAATCCTTATCAATATTATCATTTGTAAATAAAGAAATACTGAAGCGAGTTTTTCAATTATTTTTCACTATTTGAAGAAAAAATTATTATTATTATTATTATTTTATTTAAATACACACGCGCGTTTATTTATTATTATTATTATTATTATTTAAATAAATTTTTTTAAACTTTTTTTTTTTTTTTTTTTTGTATGTTTTAGAAAGACTGTGTCTTGGTTTAATAAACAAAAAGTATCAGCGACGCACTTTCACAACAAACAAAATTTGCACAAGTTAATCTGAGAAATGTGTTGTTGTTATTATTATTATTATTAGGGTAATAAAAAAAAAACAAAAAAACCGTTACTATTACTACTATTACTACTACTATTACTATTATTATTATTATTATTACTACTTTGAATCGTGTTTCGTTTTTTTTTGAAAAGATTCGTAAAATTTTTATTTAAAAAAAAAAAATATATAAGAGTGAGGTTTTTGATTTTTTTCTTAAAAATAATTTTTTTTTTTACAATAATTAATGTG